GTGCTGCTGTTAGTCTATGCGCCGAGAGCTCAGCAAGTTGATTTGTATCTGTAATGCTCAAGTCCGTAGGCGAATCATCAGGTTGCGGTGTGAATCCGGCCGCAGGTTTCTGAGCTGGCTGGAACCATTCCTTCCCCCCTTGATGATTCGGCACCGGACTCAGCAAGTTGGCTCAGAATGCCCAAGTCGTAGGCGAATCATCAAGTTCTGAGCTGTGTGGAACCATTCTTCCCCTCGGTGATGCGGTACCGGACAGAGTGGATGGGTTGGTGAAAAACAACTCCGTCATCGCATCGCCGGGTGGTATTACCGTGCAAACTGAGGAAACTTCGATGGTCGCGCTAACTCCGCGGCCCTACCTTCTTCGGCTGGTTGTTCTCGTTGGCATTGTGTGCGTCTCATCATCTGCCTCGGCAATGTCGACCGGGCAATACCGGATGAGTGCCAGGTGAGAACTCGGCAACAAAATCGGCCAAGGTTTGGGCTTTGATTGCGGTGCGCGGCTGGAACTTCACATCGAACTGTCCCAACACGACCGCCCATTTTAAAATTCGGCCTGAAAAGTCTGCCGCGCTCAAACAAGGCCTTGAGGGGAAACTCGGTCAGTACGACGATGTATGGGCGTGAAAATAATGTGCCAATTTTCTCGAAGCCATCATTAGTGCCAACGCAGCCTTTTCCAGCGGCAAGTACCTCGTCTCAGCCGCAGCAGGTCTTACTGACGTAAAAAATTGGGAGTGCTTGATTCCTTCAGCCCGTACTAACACGCACTTACTGCGTGCTGGGAGACGGCAAGGTAAAGGTAGAGTTCCTCACCGGGCTCTGGTGTAACCAACAACGGCAGAGAAGACAAATAATCCTTGAGCTCGGCCAAAGCTCGTCACACTCGTCATCCCATGAGAAATTTGACTTCAATGCTTGAAAGAAAGGGCGGCAGCGATCCGATTGACCGGCTTATAAATCGATTTAAGCGGCGCCGGCCATCCCGCCAGATGCTGCACGTCCTTAGCCGAGCTGGGCTGCTTCAACTTTTGCACGGCTCTGATCTGAGTAGGGTCGCTTCGATGCCTCGGTTCGTGACTAAGAATCCCAAAAATTCCCGGGATCCTACGCCAAAGGCACACTTCGAGGCGTTCAAGCGCAGCTTGTGCTTCTTCAGAATGGCGAACACTCGGCTAAGTCGGACAATGGTTTGCCTCATGTCGGCTCTTTACCACCATATCATCGATGTAAGCCTCCATTGTCCGGCCCGAGCAAAGGAGCAAACATTTGGTCACCATACTCTGAAAGGTTGCCCCGGCGTTTTTCAACCAAAGGGCATAACTCGATAGCAGAAGAGTCCCCTTGGAGTCGTGAAGAGTGATCTCTTGGTCAGGCCCATGCATGGCAATCTGATGATAGCGCCGCGGTACGCATCCAAGAAACTGAGCCGATTGTGTCCAGCCGTCAAATCCACTAGCTGGTCAATGCGCGGCAAAGGGAAGCTGTCTTTTGGACAAGCTCGGTTGACTGTCTTGTAGTCGACACAACAACTCGCCACTTTCCATTCTTCTTAGGCACCACTACCGGTGTTGGAAAATCCACCGAGGGAGTGCACTTCCTGTATTGCTCGTGCCTCAAGCAAGTTCTTTACCTCCTCTGCTACTACTCGGTGTGTGCAGCGCCGTGTCCTTGTTTCGCTGGATGACTGGCTTTGCTCCAGGGAGAACATTGAGGTGATGGCAGATAAAACTTGGGTCAAGGCCAGGCATGTCGTAGGGCGACCATGCAAAGATTTCGATATTCGCCATCAAAACTCAATCATCTCGGTTCTCTCCATGGCCGAGAGACTTAACCGAGCAAGAAAGAATCTGTCCGCCTGCTCGGCATCAATCCGCACTCAACCAATTCTTCAACAGCCTTGTCTTCGGCTTTGGTGCCAACATCATCCAAGACACTCCGGTCCTCCGTCCCTCGATCATTTGAACGAACCCTTTGGCAGCCCGGCTCCCGTTGACCGCCACGAAGCATTGCTTGGACATGACCTGATCACCCAAATCTCCTCGATTGCCCCCATAGCCGAGGGGAATCTCATCACCTGGTGGTAGGTCGATGCTACGGCTTCATGGCGTGAAGCCATCTCTTCCAAGGATAAGGTTGTACGTTGAAGGCACTTGTTAGCACCCAAAACTCCTTTGCTTGACCACGGATACCGCTTTGACCGGCAGGATAATCTTTCCCAATGGCCACTCGGCTGCGAATTAAATCCAACCAGTGGTGAAGTGGCCGAGCCAAGTCTGTCTCACGGAGTTTGAGCTGTTTGAACGCATCATAATACATGATCTCGACCGAGCTTCCCTGATCGATCAAGACGCCTAACATCAAATTCTTTGACGCGTAGTGTTACTACAAGAGCATCGTTGTGCGGCGTTTGGATACGCTCTAAATCCCTTGAGGTGAAACTATTCACGTCTTCTTTCTGTCTTCCCTCTTTTGATGGCGGGCTGTACTGACAAAACTTCCCTCATATGCTCTGCCTTCTTGATCATGCCCCGGAGTTCGCAAAACAGCTCCGGTTCCACGATGCCGTGGATGACATTAATTACTCCTTGTGGTGGTGCATCTCGGTCATCCTGTCCCCTGGGATCGACCGGAACCTGATTCGGTTTTCACGCCGCCATCAATGTAAAGGTCCAGATGCCGGCCGCAACCAGTTCTTCCAAGTGTTGTCGCAAAGGCAAACAATCCTCAGTCCGGTGGCCCCTCTCCGGTGAAACGTAACACGATACCGCGGATTGTAGCCCTTTTGTCCATCGCCCAACTTAGCAGGAAACCGACATACTCCTCGTCTCGGATTTCACTAAGTATGCGATAGATTGGAATCTTGAAGACCGTGGTTATGCCAGTCCTCGCCTTCAGTCTTCTGTTGCGTCCTCAACGTCATCTCGGGGGTAATCATCCCGGTCATTCCGACGTCCTCTACCCCGGTTTTTACGATTTGAACCTCGGTCTGATTCCTCTGCTCGTCATTTAAGCGGCTGGATCTTGCCAACTGCGTGCACTTTGCCTGCTGTCTCTTTGTCTGTTCCGACCGGAGTGGCCTTCACGGTGGAAGCTGACGCATCATCCTCTACTCGGATGTGCTCATTAATGGCGCTGCATGAGCTGGCCCATGGAGGTCGGCTGGTGCATTGTAGCGAGTCCCGCAGTCTATGTCCGACCGGGAGAGACACGCTTATATTTGCGGTGTGCAAGGTTGACCGGGCGAATCCAGGATCTCGTTGAAGGTTTCCCAATACCTTGAATTGTATGCTTCAGTGTGTCGCACGGTTCCATCTTGACACTCAGCAAGTGATCGACTTCCTTTGGTGTTTTTTGTGTTGGTTTTGAAGCGCGTAACAAATGCTTCGGCCAACTGATGCCACCGTTGTATGCTCCCTTCTGGCAACCTCTCAAACCACTTCAAGCCCAGCTCACCTAAACTGGGCGGGAAGATTAGGCACATAAGTCCGTAATTTCGCTATGTCCGGCCATGACCTGTCGGAAGTGCTCACATGCATATAAGGATCGGTTTTGCCGTCGTATAACGTGAACTTAGGCTGGTGGAAGCCTGTCGGAAGCGGTGTTGTTTCTATTCCAGGGAAAAAGGGGTGGCACTCAGCCTGGCCAGGTCTGTATCTTCAAATATTGGCACTGCTTGGCGGGGTGGAGGCATTCCGACCTCCTCGCTGGCGTGAACCCCGTAGGAGAGCCGCTGGAAAGTCGGTATTCTCTAGGCTTCGCGCTGGCGAGCCCGCTCCTTAACACTGCCCGTAAGTCCTCTGACTGAGCAGAATAAGAGTACCTAGACGTCGTCGTCGGACGTGAGGGCTTGTAGGTGCTGTCCTGCGCGCTAGACTTTTCTGCATGTACGTCGAAATCACCAACCTGGTAACTTCTGGTGATGGAAATGGACTGAGTACGTCGCTGACTCTGATCGCCTGACCGGCGGGACGGGGTGGCGCTCACTGTGGTCTCCCACTCCAGCTACACCTTTCCCTTTGACATGCGCTTAAGATCCTCCATCTCCGCCGCCATCCGCCTGATGACAGCGTCTTGGTCCCTCAACTTGTTTTCCCAGTCGCCTGACGTGTGAGTCTCTCCTCCGCCGGTGACCCTCTGGACTCCCGTGAATGACCGTGACTCCTGCCGCGCTTATCCCGCGCGTCTCCTGACTGTCCTCCAGTGGGCGTCCCCAAGTCGGCCATTGGATGGACGGCAGGGGGTTCCTCTCTCCTTCGGGTATACTCCGGGGTGGCTCGTCGATGGCGGACAACGGAAACTCGTCGTTGTTCGCCATGGACGGCGATCAAGATGAACCTGGAAGACAAGGTTTTGTCTGTCAAGCTTCCCATAGATGGCGCCAATTGTACGGGGAGCAAATATTCCGGCAAGCCCGTATTCCTTTCTTCCGGAGCTCCGTTGAATATCCGATCACCTGCGAGCAAGTAATGGTGAGCTACCCGGCGGTGTGTGGCCGGAAAAACCACCGACGGTCAAGTTAGCACACACCTTATGAGGAGTAGAGAGAGAAGGGAAGAGGTTGTTTTAGTGTAAGAATTCCTTACAAGAGATTCGTGTTGCGTATGGGGGGCGCAGACAGGCTTATATACCTTCTGAGCCCCATATCCACTCCCAGTCATCTCCTGACACGTGGCTCTGCTATCCCATCTGTCAGCATAAACCATGCCATTCACCACCTACCTCAACTGCCTGACTTCGCAGCTGGAGCTCGGCAGCCGAGCTGCTCTACCTCGGCCATGTCATGCTTCATACTCATGCGCCTAGCCGGACAAACACGTGGAGGACCGGGCTAGGCGGCATCTCGGCAAAGCCTAGCCCGGGCATCTCCTTTGGTTGGCCTTCCTGCCGGTCAATCAACTACCTCGGCTGACCGCGCCTTTCCGGGCGCCGGTCTCTTAGCCTGTCTGGCTTCGACCATCCTCGGACCGAGCACCTGGTTTGACCGGTCACTTCCTGGCGAGCAGTTTCTGTACGGTCCGGGGTGGCACACAGTCCA